GCAACCGAGGGGAATTTTGACATTTTAAAAATTTTGCTGTCAAAATTCTTGCTGGGCAAGGAACGGCTGTCAAAATTCCCCACTATAGAAGGTGGGAAAGGGGGTGTATGGATCACGTTTCACAACGAAAAAAAAAGCCGTTTCACGATTCACGTGTCTTAAAAAAGCAATTTCACGGAAAACTAGATTCTCATAAAATAATATAATAATAATAGGTTTATTAAGACTATGTTTAATGCATGGTACAGTATCTACGCTTTAAGTTCTCTCATTTCTCTACCTGTCAGTTAAAAACTACATCATAACTTACAAGTTTGAGTGACGAGAATGTACGACAACCTCCGCGCGTGTCCTCAGCGCCAGGAACCTTGTCCTCAGCGCCAGGAACCTTGTCCTCAGCGCCAGGAACCTTGTCTTCAGCGCCAAGAACCTTGTCCTCAGCGCCAGGAACCTTGTCCTCAGCGCCAGGAACCTCATGTCCTCAGCGCCAGGAACATTGTCCTCAGCGCCAGGAACCTTGTCCTCAGCGCCAGGAACCTTGTCCTCAGCGCCAGGAACCTTGTCCTTGTTTTTATCAACAATCACGCCTCACGGCTGTAGAACAAATCACATTTCACGACACTAAAATCAAGCATTTCACATTTCACGCGAACAAATATTGACCATTCACGGCTCACGAAAATACCCTTTCCCACCCTCACTATATTCCTAAGATAACAAGGCACACATATGTTTTCCAATGCGAACATACAATCTATACTGGTTTAAACTTGGTAAAAATTGAGACACTGTGTATAAAAGGCTATAAAATACCTTTTTCGATGAAACTTGATCGTGCTTCTCCGCCATACTTGTTACCAGGCCTTTTAATGTCAAAACTGCGCAAACTTTCAAGATGGTGGATGTCAAAATTTCCCCACTCTGGGAGTTGATGCATAGGTCAAATTCCCCTCCCTGGTGCTTCATAGTGTGGTCAAAGTCCCCTGGGTCGCCCGCACCCCCCCCCCTTCCCCCTCAGGGGGAAAACAATGATAGGTGCATAAATCAAGGGAAATCTCTATCACATGTAAACGACACGCTTATGTTATGATTTTTCTTTGTGTTTTCCTCACAAATTTAATACGTTTTTGAAATGTAAATATCAGGCTCAGCCTGCGTAGGAGGCGGTATTCGCAGGCTTTTTTCCTGACTACGAACGAACTTCAAACTTTTATTTTCAAACTTTTATTTTCAAACTTTTATTTTCAAACTTTTATTTTCAAACTTTTATTTTCAAACTTTTATTTTTAAACTTTTATTTTCAAACTTTTATTTTTAAACTTGAACAGGAATATAAAGTCTGGACAAGAGTATTAGTGTATAAATAAATAAATAAATAAATAAGGGAGTACATTTATTATGCTGAAGGGTGGGGGGGGAGGGTGAGGATGTTAAGGGGGGCATCGAAATATTCTCTGGCAATCTGGCATTAAACGGGGGGCTCGATATACTGACGGGGGGGGGGCTCTAAACTTTTCAAAGTTTTGGTCCAGCAGGGGCCTGGAGTGTTCACTCCCATATAGTTAATGGAATAGATGGTTTGAAAACTCCCCCTACTGTGAAATTCAGGCAAAAATATGTAAAATTCAAGTTAAAATTTTGACATTTTCAGGTAAAATTTGCGTAATAAAGTAATTATTTTTGTGAAATGATAACCATTTTTGTAAAATACAGTCAATTTGCATGATATTTGTTTGCGAATTTGCTTGAAAACACGCCAGAAATTCAGTCGTAGAATGTAAACATTTTCTGGGGGAGGACCCCCAGACCCCCTTTTTCTCCCGAAACTTAATATGAGAGTGCCAATCAATCACAAAAAGCTTTATTATTATTATTACATGTATAATCCCCCAACATCCCCCCCCCCCAAGCGTCAGATGCTTGCTAGGTCCCTGATGGTTGTATTCGAAACCGATTTCAGTTTCAAGATATCCTTAGTCTGCTCTTCTATAAATGGATACATGAAATCACCTATAGCTCACTTAAATTTTTTTGGCACCAATCTAAAATGTTTTTTTTAAAGGGTGCCATTTAATCTGGCGCTAGTGAGGTGAAAGAAGCAGTAGGTCGGTATTTTAGTTGAGGAGAAGTACATGCTTGAGTATATCAGACATCTTGAGGACCTGCAAATTGTATATATGATGCCTACGATAAGAGAGAATTCCGGATTGTACTGCTTCAATTCCGAATTCTGGAGGGGGGGGCATTGAAAATTTTAGAAACTTGGAGGGGGGCATCGGAAATTTACCAATAATCTCAACAGGGGCCCTGTAAAAATATGAGCTTTTTTTCAAGACATATCCATCTGCCCCCCCCCCCCTCGCCATAATAAATGTAATTTCCCTAAACAGTGATCATGTATATATATTGTAGTATAAACTTGATATATGTACAATAAAGTATTCTAAACCAGAATGCGGTGCACCACACACGTCGATTGGACAACTAGTAGCTTAAGAAAAGTTTTCCCGTAATACCATAACGCAATGGCACGTTTTTGACCAAATTTTTTTAAAAAAAACATCGAAATCTCTAAACAAGAAGGGCACCTTTGATGTTAATTTAGTATTTACAGAGACATTAGCTTGTACAAAAAGGGCACTTTTCATCACAAAAAGGGACACTTTTCGTCCTTTGAAACAATTTGGGAGGGAGGGCACGCGCTCCCTCTGCCCCCCTCTTCCTACGCCCCTGATTCTAAGACCACTTGATCCCGAGATTGAAGGCTTTATGTAGATGAACATTTCGAGTGGAAGATTCATATATATATTTAATTTAGACCTATAACCAGCTGCGGAAAATAGAACTATAGCAGGAATCGAACCTACGGCCCCGCAATTCCGTTGCAGTGCTCTAACCAACTGAGTTATAGAGTTCAGTTGTTGAGCTCCAACCACAAGTTCTTTTTTATATACAGTATATAGTACAAGTGATGCCATTATATAAAATATGAACAGATTGAAAGATTTATGTAGGATGGAAATTTCAAGCACAAATTTCAAGAAAAATCCCAAGCGCAAATTGAGATTTACAGCGTCATATTCCCAAAAATCTCTATATTTAGCCACAGGTTCGATTCCTGTCAGTTGACAGCATTTTCGCAGCTGCTCCTGTAGTTAAAGTGCCCCTGACACAAAAAATTTTATTCAGTCTATTGAAAGTACTCATTTAGTATAGTGTTCTAACGAAAGAATTTTTCGATTTCATCAAAACGAAAAAATTTTAGAGCCGTTTGAACACGCAAAATTTGGGCTTTTGGTTGGCAGGCGTCCGTGTTCGAAGGAAACTGGAACGAGCGATTTTTGTTACGTCACGCAAGTGAGTCGGCGTATATTCTATTATTCGACTATACTAGTACTATTAACTCACGGCGGATATATAGGTAGGTTTCTGATCGAAAAAGATATGCCTTTTTACTGTGTTGCAGCTAACTGTACCAATAAAGCATGTTTAAAAGATGGAATAAGTCTACGCAATATCCCATACTTCAATGACGAACACGCGGAAGCTAAAAGATGAAGAAAAGTATGGGTTGATTTTGTATGCGCAAAGCGTTTGTTTGTGCCGTTAAAGACTTCGACTGTATGCTCGGATAATTGTAGAACAGCGGATTACTAGAGGCAATTTTTTTCGTTGCCGGGGCTCGGCAAGCCTAACTATCTGAAACTAATAAAGACTGACGATGATTTGCTTTGTTTTGATTATTCAATTTGTAATTGTATTTCGGTTTTGCGGGCCAGCTAAAAATATAAATATTTTGTAATACCGAAATAAAAGATGCAAATCTGAAGACACAAGCTTGAAAATAACACTCTAAATAGTGTTTTGGATTCCGGTTCGAATAAGACTATTACGAAAAAGATATGTCCAAAGGGGCCGAAGTTATGGTCGGCTAAAGGTATGGCTACTTTACATTGTTTGAGACTAATTGAGTAATATAATGAATTATGATACCGCTTGACCTCTCAAAGGTCATAAATAGCTATTTGACTACAATTTGACTAAAACTATATTTGACTAAAACTATCATTAAAAATAAGGAGATTTTGTTTCACTGAATCGAATGGTAATAATTTTGTCTTCATAGCATGCACCGAACCGGAGATATGAACCTTGCAAAGTCATAGAACGTCTCAGTTAGTAGGAAGCTTATTAAAGATGCGCCAAATCTGAGACATGGCGCGACTAAAAAACAATCGCTAATATAAATGGGAGACTAGTTTTACTTTGTTTTTTCTCGTGTCCCTGACTTTGTTTACCAACAACAGTTTTTATCCGTGAAGTGAAACTGTGATAATAGCGGCAGTTTTTCGTCACGTCCGCGTCGCAGATTTGGTAATATTAATGATACCACTAGAGACCTGACGAGATGCTACAAGATCAGTATCTTCCAATACAACATATTAACCAGGTATAAAATTCGCTCCGGAATCATCGGACTGATTCTGTTGATTCTGTTGACATGATACTTTATAGAACTTAGAATATAAAAAGTTAAACACTTCAGCGATCAAAACCTTCAAGCTGATTAAAACGACTCACTTGCGTGACGTCAGAATAAATGCTAGTGCCAGACTTCTGTCGCCGACGGCCATTAGCCAAAAATATTTGGATTCAAACGGCTCTAAAATTTTTTCGTTTTGATGAAATCGAAAAATTCTTTCGCTAGAACACTATACTAAATGAGTACTTTCAATAGACTGAAAAAAATTTTTTGTGTCAGGGGCACTTTAAAAGAATCGCTCTACGTTGACGACTTCGCAGGAGGAGCTGATAATGATCAAGAAGCATTGGACATTTACGATAAATCTCAAGAGGTAATAAAGAAGGGTGGATTTGTTTTGCGTAAGTGGAATTCGAATTCCAAGGTTTTACAAGATCGAATTGAGAAAGATACATTGTCAAACGGAACACAAACGACATCAAGTTCAGTTTTCGAAAGTGAAAGAGAGATTGATTCAAAACAACATAGCAAGGAAATTACGCCTGTCAATATATTAGGATCTAACTGGAACGTTAAAACTGACAAATTCCAATTCGGTGTAAAGGAACTGGTTGAATATATCAAAACACTACCCGCTACAAAGAGATCTGTATTAAAGGCTTCAGCAAAGATTTTTGACCCAATTGGAATACTTAGTCCATTTACAGTCAATCTTAAGATCTTATTCCAGTTGCTTTGTTGTGATCGCGTAGATTGGGATGAGAAACTCGATGAAAATTCATTAGCATGTTGGAACTCGCTGTTACAAGGATTAGAGTCGATCAATTCAATTGAAGTACCAAGATGCTACTTCAGTCGTTTCAATGTACCAATAACGAGCCAGCAAATACATGGGTTTGGTGATGCCTCCGGAAAAGGATACGCAGCGGTAGTTTATCTGCGAACAGAGTATGAAGACCATCATGTTGAAACCAACATAGCATCCAAGACTAGAGTCGCTCCGATACGAAAGCAGTCTATTCCTAGGTTGGAACTACTAGGAGCTACTATCCTTGCTCGATTGGTTAGCTCGATTAGCAAAATCCGTTGGTCTCGATTAGTAAATCCGAAGATATTCGTGTGGACTGATTCGTTTACCGTACTTTGTTGGATACAAAATGATAAACCGTGGAAACAATACATACAGAGGAGAGTCGACGAAATTCGAAAACTCGTTGGAGAGGATAAATGGATGTTCTGCCCAGGAGAATTTAACATTGCAGACTTACCTTCGCGAGGTTGTAGTGGAGCAGCACTGGTTAAAAACGACGAATGGTTCCATGGCCCTAAATTCCTGAAGTTATCAGAAGAAAACTGGCCGAAACCTCCTCGATGTAATGGAGCAGAAAGTGAAATCGCATTATCGGAAACGGTGAAATCAGTCAACAAGTCAACAACTCATTCCCTTACAGTCTTAGAGAAGAAACATAACACAGTTAGTGTCGGAAAGGTGGTGGATTGTCATCGATATAGTTCGAAAATACGTTTATTACGAGTGACGGCTTACGTATTTAGGTTCGTGAGGAGGATTAAAGGACAAACCGTAGTTAAAACGTTAGAACTATCAGCAGACGAACCGATCGAAGCCGAACAGATATGGATAAAGGATATTCAGAACAATATGTTTCCCGAAGAAGTTAAACAATTAGTTAATCGTACCAAAACTTCCAGCTCAAGGCTTGATCAACTACGCTTATTTCTGGACGACAAAGGAATGATACGCTGTGAAGGACGAATTGAACATTCTTCTGTTTCTTCTGAAGCTAAGAAACCTGTACTCCTTCCCGCAAAGCATCACGTTACACATTTGATTATCCAAGAACATCACGATTCAGCAAACCACACTGGTATTAAAGGAACACTGAACCGTATTCGAGAAAGATATTGGATCCTACATGGAAGGCAAGCAGTCAAGCGAGTTCTACGTAAATGTGTGACTTGTAAAAGATTAGAAGGGAAGCCGTACCCCACGCCCAAGACTCCGCACCTACCATCTTGGCGAACAAGTGATGACCCTCCCTTTAGTTACACAGGAGTGGATTTCGCTGGACCCCTCAACGTCAAAGAGAACTCAAAGTGTGGTCAACAATCAACAAAAAAGTCATACATCGCTCTATTTACTTGTGCGACAATATGGGGAATTCATGTAGAACTGCTTCCGAGTTTATCGGCCGAAGGATTCTTACAAGCATTTCGTAGATTTTCAGGTCGGAGAGGACTTCCAAGAATGATAATTTCAGATAACGCAAAGACATTTAAATCCGCTAGCAAGGAACTGTCAAAAATTAAGCGTTCTCCCGAAGTGCAACAACATCTCGCAAAAAATGGCGTTTCTTGGAAATTCATTATCGAAAAGGCCCCATGGCACGGGGTTTTTTGGGAACGTTTGATAAAGAGTGTTAAAAGATGCCTAAAAAAGTCCATTGGTCGAGCTACGTTATCGTTTGAAGAGTTACGCACGATATTGATCGAGATTGAGTCAACATTAAATAATCGTCCAATTACGTACATATACGATGATGAAGAGGGCATATCGTACCTCCTTACGCCATCTTGTCTACTTTATGGACGGAGAACGACGACTACGCCAAACGACAGACAGTTCGAGATAGTGAACACAAACGAGTCTTTGACAAGACGAGCTCGACATCACAAAACTCTACTAAAGGAATTCACTAAACAATGGAGACGAGAATATTTGCTAAGTATTCGCGAAGCAGCGAGCTCGAGTAACAACGGTACAAGGGATGTAATTGTCGAAGGAGACATTGTAATTTTGAAGAACGAGAGCACGAAACGGTTATTTTGAAAAACAGCGAAGGTCGAAGAGCTTATTCGAAGTATTGACGGTGTTGTAAGATCAGCGAAGATTCGAGTGTTGAACAGTGAGACTCGAAAGCCTATCATCATACGAAGACCTATACAACATTTAATCCCATTGGAAATTCACTCGAAATTCGGTAACAAGGATAAAGAAGAACTAGTTGATGTGAATGAAGAATCATCCGGAACACAAGATCTCAGTGCATAACCATTAGACACTGATGTTAAGACTGCCGTTGTAGAGAAGAATCGACCAAAAAGAAAGGCAGCTGTTCAAGGAGAACTTGTACGAAAACTGTCAAAACAAACGTAAAAACATTAGGAAAATGTTCATCAGTTCATATTTAGTTTAAGTTAGTCATTTGATCATGTTTAATGATCAACCCGGGGACTGTGACAGATTACGCAACATTAGTTTAAATTAAATTTATTTGTTATTGTAATACTTCATGTAATAATATTAGAAATATATCAACTTTCAAACAGATGCTGCAAAACTGTAGATCCTGCCGAGATTTCAACTGGTTTGCTTTGAACATCTCCATGGGTATTCAAAGTATGACGCTTGAGGTTGTCGCGTGTTGAAAATACTTTGGCACATATATTGCACGGAAAGGACATGTTCACACCACGAACGTCTAGCTGCAAGTGATAATAAGTTGGCGTATTCGTTCTATATATTCATTAATGCATCTATCCAGTATTATTCTGTATCTTTTTCTTCCTTATCTTTATCCTTATCTTTATCTTCCTTATATTCTTTATCTTTATCTTCTTATCCTTATCTTTATCCTTATCTTCTTATCTTTATCTTCTTTATCCTTATCTTTATCTTCCTTATCTTTATCCTTATCTTTATCTTCCTTATCTTAATCTTCTTTATCCTTATCTTTATCTTCCTTATCTTTATCTTTATCCTCTTATCTTTATCCTTATCTTTATCCTTATCTTTATCTTCCTTATCTTTATCCTTATCTTAATCTTTATGTTCCTTATCTTTATCTTCCTTATCTTCTTATCGTTATCCTTATCTTTATCTTCTTATCTTCTTATCTTTATCCTTATCTTAATCTTCATGTTCCTTATGCTTAACTTCCTTATCTTTATCTTTATCTTCTTATCTTTATCCTTATCTTTATCTTCTTATCTTTATCCTTTTCTTTATCTTCTTTATCCTTATCTTCTTATCTTTATCTTCTTATCTTCCTTATCCTTATCTTCCTTATATTTATCCTCTTATCTTTATCTTCCTTATATTTATCCTCTTATCTTCCTTATCTGACATGCACAAGGAGCCAAGTTCGATAAGCTCAGAGTCGAGCTCTCAATAGCTCGGAGCCTTGTCTAAATTGCTTTCTCTCTTCCGATATAAGCTTCCTTATTGTTGTGTTTTACTCATTTGCTTCCAAACCGTCGAACAGAAATGATCAATCTTCTAAGGCACAAGCCATTTCTTGAATTGTTGGGCACGTTTGAGCCTGATCAACAACAAGCACCACTGGAAACAGCAACCGCCGAGTAAGTACACTGCCTGTGTCTCTGTGTAGAAAACGTTGTGAAAAGAAAATATTTAATGCCGAAGCATGTAAGGAAGAAACTCCGACCTTACAAACATGAAATGCTTAGGTTGGAAGAAGAAAAAAACGGACACTCGTTCAACATGGTGAAGGTTTCCTTGGACTATTACTAAGTCCTATTTTGGAAAGCCTGGCTGAACTTGTATAAAAGCCCTGTGACTACAAATTATACATAATTTCAACAATGAAAATCGAGAGTAAAACATCTCCGCGACATTGGCGCATTGAAGATATATTTTTGTATCTGAACAATAATGTCAAAAAACTACAGCAGAAAAAATGCTACATTCTATTCTTATATCAAGTGATATTTTAACTTGGAATCCTCAGGGTGAGATTGTTTATCATGGAAGAGACATTCCTGGTATTAACATCGAGAACTTTTTACAATACGCACTTTTACCATACAACTCTCACATTCCTGAACCACGAGGGTTCGACCTGTTTACAAAAGGTCTAGTAGAAGCAGGGGTTAATAAAGATTTAATAAAAAATGAGTATTTATTGTCAAAAATTGCAAAAAGAGGAACATGAAATGCCACAATCTGAGAGTGATGTTGAAAGCGAATCTGGTGAAGAGAACAGGGAATCTGACAAGAGTGACAATGAAAACGAATACGATGATAATGAGGATGATGATAATGAGGATGATGGTGAGCCCGAGAAACTAGCTTGTAACCATTGTGGAGAAGAGACTGGTCACATTGTATACTCAATGAAGTGCCCAAGATGTTCGTGGAAAGATTTCTACTGGCCGGGACAAAGACGCTCAATGTATGATATGTGATGAACAGTCACCTCTACTGTTTTCACATGTCATTGGTTTCTGCGAGCCATGTTCGTATGGTACGTCTAACAGCAAGGCGGGCGGAGCGGAGTTCACACCAGAAATGGACAAATAAAAGACCCAGCAGATTGGACCGAACGTGACCTAGCGCGAATGACTCCGGAAGCAAGAGAGGATTATGAACGTTTTATAGTGAGCGATAGACCGAAATATATTCCAATGAAGCCGGAAAAACTTGCAAAGTTATCCCCAGAAGATAGACAAGAATATGAGAACTCTTTAAAAATAACAAAAACACCTAGACGTTACGCTCTTAGAAGTAGACCTTACTAAATTTTGTAAAACATTTTGAAGAAATAAATGTATTCTAAAACTGAAATATTGTGCAAACATTTACCTGCAAAGCCCGCTCTTTCCGCCCGCGCGATTTGTCTAACCCGCCCGCCTGATCCGTGTACAAATATGTTGTACTTTAATATATGCATGCACCCGCAAAGCCACGCGCCTGATTTTAAGGTATACACCGGCGTTAAAAAGAATCCCTATCTATCCATCGGGATACACTTAGTTATGCAAATTCGTATTACCTTAATCCCCTTAATTACCCACACGCCTCCTAATGACTTAGCAACGCATAACAACGCAAATTTGCAAAGTTTAAAACATGTTTATTGATACAAATAACAGACGATAGTGTCAAAAATATTACAGTTCAATTTTTCCTTCGTGATATATTCTGAATGCGTAATGAGCTAACTTGTGGGCCCACAGATCGGAATTTTAATTAAATTGTCTATTGTTTGAAACAAAAATGCAAACAAAACACGGGCATGAGCAGAACGGACTTGGCAGTCTCTTTAAGTAAAATTTGAGATATAAGATAAAATCGCTGTACCTCTCATATAAAATGCCTGACATTTACATTGTTCTACAATGAATTTTTTCTTGCAATGGTCGTGACATGCAGCAATGGTGTATGATTTGATTCCTGGCACTAACTTTTGATCCTTGCACATTGTTTTGTATGGAGATTTGAGAGAAATTGTCTGAAAAAAAAACACAATATAATAATAAACAATAAGTAATATATAACGTATTTACTCGTTTAACCGATTGAGCGCTGCTCCCCGATCACAACAACGGACCTCCCAACAGCGGAAAGAGAACGCCCTGTGTACGAGGTTTCTTTAACTAGCCTCGGAACGTTTTTCTCCTGCATTTCAGTGTTTTTATGTTGTTTATGAAGAACGCCGCCCTCGAACAAGTGGCGCCCTCAAATAAGCGCCGTATCACTAAGAATTTAAAGAGGGCCAAATGTTGGGTTGTAGTGAGGTAGCGAGGAATAAAATTTGTGCGCTTATACGCGTGCGTATGATTGAACTATTTGAAAAATAAGAACAAACTTCGACGCTTCCATACGAAGAGTCTTCACTCGAAAAATATTATTTTGTTCTTATACATGCAGGGTGTATAAAGAAGTGGATAATTTTGAAATGGCCACTAAATTGAAAATTCTGTAAAATTTGTGAAAATAATGTAAATATGGGCATTTAGGGCACCTTTGATTTCTCTAGCACTAAAATTATTCTGAAAATAAATTTTTGAGTGCAGGAAAGCTATTTCTAAAACCGCATTAAACAGGACTTGCGCACAATAAGTACTAGTTAAAACATGAACAGCCGATTTTTGCCTGATATACAAACTCGAGCCGAAGGCGAGAGCTTGTATATCAGATAAAGATCGGATGCGATAACGTGCTTAAAATACGACCCACCTTATGAGTTCATTGGCGAAGTAATTTTAAAAATAAACATTGTCTAAGCCGAGAAAATCAAAGCTGAAGTTTATGTAAATCACGACAAATCTTTATCGGATTTATAAACATTGATTAAACATTAATTTCTTTTGTATTTTCCTAATGAATTATTAATGAGTTTTTAATGGAAAGTTTAAAAGCAATTTGAAATCATAGGGTGTAAGGTTGGAAGTTATTACTATTTATATCCGGTGACTTCAACTTCCACTGACGATATAACAGTAGGAAATTTCTTCAAGTTCTAGAAACGTTTAGTCTCATTCAGCATGTAACGGTTCCAACTCGTTTGTCTAACCCCATATTAGATCTTATCATTACCAGATCATCATGTGACATTAATATTCAATATATACGTAATACATTCTTCTTATTACAACTGGCTGCAAAAAAAGGAAAAAATCCTTGTTGATTGAACTGGCGAAACAAGTTAAAACATCTGGGTTTGTTTGGAGTGTCTGATCTTCGATCTTTGTATGCATGGCCCCTGTATTCTGTAGCGAAGTAACTTTCCACGACCTTTAAGTTCCTTTCCGAGCCATCACAATGTTTACATCTTCGACCCACCAACCCAGTATGTCTTCGACCTCAACAAATATTTATTTCATATAAAATCTCGAAGCGTCTGTCGAGGCTACGGATGCTCGCAGAATTTCTGGGAATTCATGTTTCGTAAGATCTAAAAGTTCAGACCTTTCAGGCGTTGCTTAACATATTTTTGCAATGCTGTTTTGAGAGAATCATCGTGTAGTTTGCGTTCCTGATGTCGGCCATCTTTAATTTCCCGTGAACTACTATATGGCAGCTAACATGAAGTATATTAGAATACGATTATTAGGTTCGCAAAGAATCATGGTAAGTGGCAGCGCTCGGCCGATAAAGAAAATTATTTTCATTCTATTTTAAATTTGTTTTACTTTAAATTTATATTTTCTTTTAATTTGACTTTCATTTCAACTTTTGTTTTACTTTTGTTTTAATTTCAATTTAAATTTGATTGTGTTTTTAAAATGTTTTAAAAAAATATTTATTTCTAAAAAATTTCCTAATAAAAAATACGAAAAAACTATTGGCAGTTCTCGGCCACCATATAAGTGGATAAAATGCATATGAAAATAAGCTATCGATAAATTCCTGAGTAAGTGCATGGTTATTGTAATGAAGCAAGTCTACGTTAAAAGCGGCCATTACATAACATGCCAAGAAACTATGTCAACAAACAGTGACACATTTTGATTAGGAGGTCGATAAATTGAGCCCACGACTATGTTTTTCCCATACGGGATATCAATCTCGACGAACACTGATTCAATTATATCAGGATCTGAAAAAATACATCCAGGGCGTAACTTATATTTCAAACTATCTTGCAAATACAGAACAGTTCCTCCGCCAGTTTTAGAATTACGGTGGTTAGAAACAAAATTGTACCCAGAAATGCTCACTTGGTCTGAAGCCAGGTTTCAGATACTCCTAGTATTACACGTACAGGCAATGATTTTTGCAGATTAGCTAGCAAAATTCTGAATTTGTCAAAATTAGCAAGCTCCTCATGTTCAAATGCATTACAGAGAAACTAATACTTTTGTTTAAAGAGGTTACCGCGTTATTAAATTCTTCCTCTACGAGATAGTTACTAACAGGAGGGCAAAACGCGAGATTATTATCAGGGTCAAGGTAATTACGAAACGAATTGTTTATTAAAGGTTGATCACTAGGATTAAATAGTAGGGACTCAAATCGATCATTATCAAAATTTAATGACCCATGGGCTAATTCATAAAGTACAAGGTTGAAAGAACTATCGTCTAAATTATTAAATGGCAGTTTCTAAATTAATATTTTCTTCAGATATTGTGATCAAAGTTTCGTATCACGTATGTAGGTTAATATGTACTTATCTTGAGCCAGTTGGGCCGGTTTTCTCTTTGAATTAGGTTTTCCAGTTCTTCGAGGGTTTCAAGTTGTATAGATTGGGAATCATCTGATTCTCGTAAGTAAATGGTGAAGTTCCTCACCCAGCAAAACATGAAGCCCATTCGGTGTTGAAATTTCTTCGCTTGTGCAAGCAATTTTTGCACTTGAGGCGTCAAATGGTCAAGGATTCGAGCTTCATCAAGCGAGTCTTCTGCTTTTAACCCAAGATCAGCTGCTCGAACTTTACAGGCATTTTTGCGTACATTCATAACCTGTTCCTCCACGATTCTCCTCACGAATTTGCAAATTATAGGTCTTCGACCAACTCGAGTATTTCTGGTTGGTACACGGTGAGCAATATCGATGTCCCGTTCAGAGACTTCAATTCCCAATTTCTTAAAAAGGTTAACACATATCGCAGTGGTTTCGATTGCAGATTCTGATGGTTTCCTGTCTGGAATTCCGGTTATCTTAACGTTGTAGCGATAGCTGTATCTTTGGCTTTCTTCGATCGCCGAGGCGATAGCTTCTACTTGATCAGACCGGGCGTTCAACAGAGACTTTTGTTGTTGTAATTGAGCAATTGCGTCTGCCTTGAAACGACTAAGATCGTCATTAAGTCTTGCTATAAAGATCAAGATGCTTCTCTGTCTCAGCATCCACGCCAGGTTGGCGGCCATTTCCAGTTGTAGGTTTCTGTTGTTGATGGAATTTCTTCGTTAGGCTTTCTTCTAGGTTCTGAAAGTCTTTAGTTAAGACTTCAATTTGATTTTTAAGAGAATCATTCTCTTTCTTAAGTGGTTTGACTGTGACAGACATTGATCACAGCTCTGAATATTGATTAAATAGGACGTTTATCAAAAGCTTGGAAAGATACGACTGCACGACGTTTCAACATAAAACAGGTATTTGGTTCGATTCCTGACCAAGGGCCTAAAGTTGCTTTCCCGGTTAGTTCTAAAATTGTATACATGCAGCTATTTCAATTAAGGTTGTCCCCCGAGCAAAGTGGAAAAGTCGAATACGAGCGCGAAAGGCTGCTGGGAATCGCTAATAAATTAATTAATTTCTTAGCGATTTCCAGCAGCTTTCGCGCTCGTATTCGACTTTTCGGCTTTGCTCGGGTACAACCTTAATTGAAATAGCTGTATATATATATATATATATATATATATATATATATATATATATATATATATATATATATATATATATATATATATATATATACTGGGTGTCCCAAAAAAAAGTACTCCGGTTTGATTTATAATAACTTCTAAACAAGTAAAGCTATCAAACAGAAATAACTTGCATTAAATAGAGGAAGGACTAACTTAGATTTTGATATGTTACAGTTGTATTTTACTTAAAAATTCACGGAGATATTAATGTTCAAAATCGGGAGCATATTTTGGGATGTGTCTAAAATTAGCGAAAATCGGCGTATCAAATTTTAACTCCAGCGTTTGTTTGCTTAATGACATATCAGGGTAAATTGTATTTCAGCGAATTGTCGTTAGGGTTTGTAAGGGATATGGCGTAGATTTAGACATCTTACATGTAAGTCTTAACTCATTGTTTCCTGAAATATGAACGTTCGAAATTATGTAAGTATTTAATAGGTCTTTGCAAACTTAAGGTACATGAAAGACCATATGCAAGGCAGGCGCTTCAATTTTTCTTAAATAACCTATTTTTTATGTTTTTCATGGGTTCAAAACAAAGTTGATTATTTCTCGGTTAGAGCAGGATGAATATTGTTCTTTAATGGAGGAAATAATATTGCTTTTTGCAAATACACATCACAGTATCAAAGCTACTATTTTGTTACGTTTTGTTCCAAAAATGTTGGATGTCTCTGGGGAGTTGCTTGTTATGTCTTATGGAGTTGTATGGTTTGATTGTGTTTCATTCTCAGTTTATTCTGAACTTGCCAAGATTAAGAAAAGGCAAAAGAGTTTGGGTGTTCTTAACAAGATTTCAGAACGTTGCAGAAGTTAGAAAATTCATTCAATGTGAAGTTAGAAAATTCACAATTCCATTGTGACAGCGTGCCCTAATTCAGAACTACGAACGATCCATGACGATCCTTCGCGATGCAGTGGTCTCATGAAATAAGGAAACGTATTCGTGCTAGAAACACACGCGGATTTCGGACGAATAAATCTTACTTGTATTTTGTAGATAATAATACTTTGTTTCATAATAAACAATTTGTCAAGTGTCATTTATTTACAGGTAATAGTGCATGTTTCAGTTGGGTAAATCTTGATTAATATTTGATACGCTGTTTTTGGCATATTTCAGACACATCAAGAAATATGCTCCCGATTTTAAACATTAATATCTCCGTGAATTTTTAAGTAAAATACAACTGTAACATATCAAAATCTAAGTTAGTCCTTCCTCTATTTGATGCAAGTTATTTCTCTTTAAAAGCTTTACTTGTTTAGAAGTTATTTCGAATCAAACCGGAGTACTTTTTTTTGGGACACCCGGTATATATATATATATTTTCGTTCGGAAATTCCATCTAAAAATCCATCTAAACTTTTTCTTTAACTAAAATACTCACCCTCCGTCTTGTTATACTTGCATAGACATGTGAACCGGGCATGACGGCAAATCCCAAACTGGACACAAGCGGTGGTTCATCTGGATCATGAATCCGTATTCGTAAACCTGCCGAAAATGAAATGTGACCTATATATTCATTTTGTTCAACTGACATCCTCAAATGTAGTCCAAAATGCTTTCCTGGACCATCCACTTTTCGAATTGTCATATTTTTCCCTGCGAGAAAAGAAAACAGTGCAATAAATCTGATGGTGTAACCAGAAGTGTATGATGTACAAAGCCCTTGGGAATGACCTAAAGGTTTCCTGAGCCGTTCTATAGAAACAATTATTGAGTGAGGTTGAGTATGATATCGAGAATTATCAAGGCCGAGAATAGACTTTCAATATATAATAATACAAATTATTCTGTAGAAAATGTGCTACGAGCCTGAGGCGAATAATTGTTTTAGTATTTTTACACAAGCTTTTGTGTTTTTTGAGACTGAATTTATTTTAATTTCGCTTATTTCTTAATTTTCTTTGTCAGTAAACTTCCGCAAACCGGGTAGCCGCCATTTTGAAAATTTCTGTTTTGTTATATTCACCTGTAGGTGAATATAACAGCTTATTACGTCAATTTTGACCAATCAACGTGTAGGATTTGTTATGTTCACTTGTGTAGAAATACTAAATACTGTTATTCAACAATTACGTGTTGTTCGCGAATGTTTAGTACTTCAAGTCTATATACTATCTCCTGTGCCCATGCAGGCGCTATATGAAGTGCTATATCATGCATGCATGGGTGGGTGATACGTATAAAGAGGTTTTTGGAAGCTTTCTTACAGCGGTTCTAGTCCTTTCTATACCGCCTGAGTAATATATTGCTTGTACATGCGAATATGTACAAGCAGCGCTTGAGAACGAGGCAGATATTTGCTCATGCCCTAAACTGATATGCTTGTATCAATACCATAATACAGTAATATACAATTCACCTCCAGACAAAAACAACGACTTCCGGTTACAGACATGAGCAATTTTTTGTTTAACAGTGTGCAGAGGTATTCTTTATAAAGCTGTTTCTAATGAATAAGATTACCAATAGCGTGTAAGATACTGTTATCTTTCCAACCTCGTTTACAACTATTACGGGAGCTGAAATACAAATTGTTCTAAAACAATAAAAGTATTTTCTTTTTTTTTTTGGCCTTTTTTTTGTTGTGGTGTATGCTAAAACAATTATTTACCTCATGGCCTCAGTGTCGGTGGATAGTGCAAGGATATTCACCGGTTTTTCCCTAACGTTTAACCGTTGTTTAAAATTTAAAATACAAACATCGGCCGGTGTATTAAATGCTAAAACGTTAAAAGCTAACTTACATATAACTGTTTCAATGAAAAACATTTTTCTCCTCAACTTAGCTGTTTCATATATATCCTGGGGCCGGTTGTATAAAAACGTTGTTAACTTTAACTATGATTAGCGTTAATCAATTATTGGTGATGAAGTAGATATTCCTAGCTTCACGGAACAGCAGGTATGGAATGCCTTGAAAAGAATAAAGAGGACAGCAACAGGTCCCGATTATATTCCCTATTGGGTTTGGAATGATCATGCTGAAATTCTAACCGAAGTTATAACTAACGTCTGGAATTTGTCCCTTTCATCACATACTTGGCCAGATTCATGGAAAAGAGCGAATATTAACCCTCTTGCAAAGGTTGATTTACCAAAGGAAAATGGTGACTTTCGTGGAATAAATATTAC